TTGAATACAACCCCGGAAACGGGGGAAAATGCAGAGTTCCCAAGTTTTGTGGAAACTTCGCCATCAAAAGGAACGACAGGGACTTTTTGCCGTGGGGCCAATTCTTAACTGTATAATTGTATATCATATGAATTTGTATAAATATTAGTTTTGTGGAAACTTCCCAAGTTACGTGTATTTGTAAAAATTTATACAATTTTATAAAATAATTTATGTATATTTATGTGGGGACATATTTTCTGAATACCAACACGTGGCATGGTGATGCCGACGTGTCAGCCGAGGTGCCACGTGCCCTGGTAGTTAAGCCGAGGTAATCTCGGAGAAGCCGAGGTCATCTCCGAAGATGTCAGAATCCGAAGATAAGGGACAAGAGTCCTGAAGCAAAGAGGGGACTTAATTAAGATAAGGATAAACCTCTTAGGGAGTTTATCTCTATCTCCTAAAGAGTCCAGAGTAAGTACTAAGATTGGGGTACATAGAAGTCATATTTCTAGTTGGACTTGGATTAAGTATATTATAAAAGAGAGGCACCCCCGTGGGTCTAAGGTATGTAATTCATACTTTGAGTATTCAGTTTAATACTTGATTATCCTTGAGAAACATACTGACTTGATCGTCGGAGTGCCCCCGGGTGGAAGAACCACCGCCGGAGCTTTTCCTTTCTGTTACAGGTTGCTGGAGCCATCTATTCTGCCGGTGCTTTGCTGCTGATCACTAAACGGGCAATGTGGTCGGAAAATCACCCACACAATTTATAAAGATTTATACAAATTCATATTATATTTTACGTATATTTATAAAAACCTATATATTTTTATAAAATAATTTATATATATTTATAAGAATTTATACAAGTGCATATAGCATGCCCCTCATACACTCAAATGCTTTCCATATTGTGGTTATGACCTATGCGGGTCTTGTACTCTTACCAATTTTTGGTTAATTGATTAAAATTTTATATGGCATCATAATATTTAAAATATTTTGAAGTAATAATTTCAAATTTTAATCTTTTTGAGGTAAAAAACAACAATTTGAAAGATATATTATCCTTATATATTTATCTGTCCACGTCACCTATATAAAATAAAATAAATACGAACAATACATTTGATAGCAGTTGTAAAATTAAATTTAAAAAAATAAAAATAAATAGCAATATCATGTACCACAACAATATTTAGAAAGAAGTTCAAATTAATTTGAAATATATAATAGATTAGTTTCATTTTAGGTATGACACACCAACTCCGAGGATTTACATCATAGATCCGAATTCTAGACACTTCTTTTTTTTTCTTTTTCTTTTTTGCTTTTTGGGATGTATAACATTCTTTAAAAGTTTTTTTTTTTTTTTTTTCAAGAATAGAATGAAATATATTATATTTGGATGACAAAAATCAAAGTCAATAAATGTTAATCTTACGCGAATTCTGATTACTAATACTAACAATAAAGAGCAATCCAAAAAATGGATTGCACTACAGTTTGTTGGCTATATCGGACTCATTTTGGTGATCTAAACTATTTATCTTGTAGTATAGTTGATCAGATTATTCATTAAAACAATAAAGGCCATGTTTGGTAGGACTTATTTCTAACTTATTTCAGCTTTTAGCTTAATTTAAGCTATTTTGATATGTTTGGTTCAGCTTAATAATACAGCTTATAGCTTTTTGTAAGTCAAAAATCAACTTATTCTTTGAGTAGGAGAGGAGAAGCTTAATTTATAAGTCAAAAATCAGTTTATGTTCACAGTTATAAGTTATAAGCTGTTAAGGTATAAATTATAATCATTTTTCCTCAATTTTACCAAACGAGACCAAAGTTGATCAGACATCATTTTAATTTTTTTTTTTACAAAAAAAACTAAACAGTGTTTATAGTAAACGTTTTGAATCACCAAGGTGAGACCAGATAAAACGGTGCAGTCCATTTTTTGGAAAGCAATTTTTAATACTAACAATAAAGAGCAATCCAAAAAATGGATTGCACTACAGTTTGTTGGCTATATCGGACTCATTTTGGTGATCTAAACTATTTATCTTGTAGTATAGTTTATCAGATTATTCATTAAAACAATAAAGGCCATGTTTGGTAGGGCTTATTTCTAGCTTATTTCAGCTTTTAGTTTAATTTAAGCTATTTTGATATGTTTGGTTCAGCTTAATAATATAGCTTATAGTTTTTTGTAAGTCAAAAATCAACTTATTCTTTGAGTGGGGGAGGAGAAGCTTAATTTATAAGTCAAAAATCAGCTTATGTTCACAGTTATAAATTATAAGCTGTTAAGCTATAAGTTATAATCACTTTCCCCCAACTCTACCAAACGAGACCAAAGTTGATCAGACATCATTTTAATTTTTTTTAAAAAAAAAAAACTAAACAGTATTTATAGTGAACGTTTTGAATCACCAAGGTGAGCCCAGATAGAACGGTGCAGTCCATTTTTTGGAAAGCAATTTTCTAAAGTTAAACTGTCAATGTGATTCAAACGTTTCATTTAATTAAAAATTCTCTATGTAAATAATAAATATTTAAATATTGAGGGCTCATTTATTTATTTTTATTTTTTTAATTTTTTTGGGTTATTGCTAAAACGCGAACTTATTATTATTAGCTAAAAAAAATACTTTGTTAAAATAATCTTAACTCATTTACTATACTTCTTGCTTAAAAATATTCAAATTAAGCAAATTTATTTATTATAAAAAGTCAAATCAAAAAGTTGAAAATATATCAAATAAACTTAATTATTATAGTACTATTCTTTTTTCATGAATTTATTTGTAGTCACCTAGGATGCCTATTAGTCTAACGGTTGTATTTTGTTATTATTTTATATTTAGGGTTTGTTTGAAATGTTCTAAATAAGTGTATTTTTTAATTTTTTATAAAATATGAGTGAGATTTAAAGTGATGGGATAGAGAGGTAATGTAACTTAAATAAGATGATGTAATTTAAATAGGATAATGACTTTTTAACTTTTTGACTTTTTAATTTTTTTTAATTTATGCCAAATAAGGTTTTAATTTGCTAATAAAGGTTGTTGAGGAATCAACGACTTTGAAGTCTCCGTTAAAAAAAAAAACAAAAAAAAAGACTTCGAAGTCGTGTTCACATTGAACTTGCAAAACTGTTTCCCAAGGCATAAAGATAAGTACGCTGGTCTATTAAACTTTGAAAAGTGTTAAGTAGTTGTGTGTGGTTTATGTTTTGAGATAAATTTTTTAAAAAAAAATTTGAGTAGAGTGTTTAGAAATTTTTTGATTTGTTTAGTTAAATATTTTAAAAATAGTTTTGGAATTTAAAAATTTGGGATGATTTGATATTTTGTTATAATTAAGTAGAAGTGTGTGAGAAAAAAATGATTGAGAATGAAAGAGTAGAGAGAAAAAGTGATTGATTGATATATAGTAGAGAGAGAACCAATTTTGAATTTTTTTTCAGTTTGAAATGTTCTAAATAAGTGTATTTTTTAATTTTTTATAAAATATGAGTGAGATTTAAAGTGATGGGATAGAGAGGTAATGTAACTTAAATAAGATGATGTAATTTAAATAGGATAATGACTTTTTAACTTTTTGACTTTTTAATTTTTTTTAATTTATGCCAAATAAGGTTTTAATTTGCTAATAAAGGTTGTTGAGGAATCAACGACTTTGAAGTCTCCGTTAAAAAAAAAAACAAAAAAAAAGACTTCGAAGTCGTGTTCACATTGAACTTGCAAAACTGTTTCCCAAGGCATAAAGATAAGTACGCTGGTCGATTAAACTTTGAAAAGTGTTATTAAGTAGTTGTGTGTGGTTTATGTCTTGAGATAAATTTTTAAAAAAAATTGAGTAGAATGTTTAGAAATTTTTTGATTTGTTTAGTTAAATATTTTAAAAATAGTTTTGGATTTAAGAATTTGGAATGATTTGATATTTTGTTATAATTAAGTAGATGTGTGTGAGAAAAAAAGTGATTGAGAATGAGAGAGTAGAGAGAAACAGTGATTGATTGATATATAGTAGAGAGAGAAGCAATTTTGAATTTTTTTTGAGAAAATTTGTAAGTTAACATGTTTGGAAATTTTCTTTCAAAACACAAACCAAACATGTGTGAGAAAAAAAGTGATTGATTGATATGTAGTAGAGAGAGAAGCAATTTTAAATTTTTTTTAAGAAAATTTGTAAGTTAAAACATGTTTGGAAATTTTCTTTCAAAACACAAATCAAACACATCCATAAGTCCCAAATTTTCTACTAAATAAATGATTAAATATCTCATATTGGTGTGGGATTCACAAAATTGCAGATCTCATATCCATGTGAGACATTTTATCATTTATTTAATAGAAAATTTGATATCTTTAACATTGTCCTTAAACTTGTGTTTAGTGAGGTTCACACAGAAAATTAATATCAATTCATTAGTTATTATATTATGGATTTTTTTAAAAAAATTATCAAAAATTTTACACAATACCCATGTAAATATTAAGTAAATTTTTTGATACTTTTTTGAAAAAATTACAAATATGCCCTATGAAATTTGTTTAAAATACGAATTGTCCATTGTTGTTTTGTGAGTTACATTTCGCCCCTTCATGTTCATAACAAATAATTAATTTTATTAATAAGTCAATTAACCGTTTTTAATAATATCAGAAATATATTGTATTGAAAAATAGTTAGAAATTTTATTTATTCTATTTATTTTGTTAAATAAATTTTGTTACAAAAATATATGTATATTTTTTAAAAGCACATATATATTTATTTTTAATTTATTTTTTTTTTTTTTATGGAATTACTGGTAATTGCTTTTCCCAAATTTCTGGACCACAAGCCAAACACCGTGTAGTTTCTTGGACGACCGACTTTTGTACGCAACAAATTCATGTGAAATTGCGTCACCATTTCACTGCATTTTCCACTAAACTTGCCTCCTAGACAAGAACCCAAACTTACCATCTATATATACGTTCCATGTGTATATGTTTTTAATTTAGTACACCCTCATATCATATCTTATCCATATCCAGTGCATGTAAAATGGAGACAACTAGTGCCTTATCCATATCTGGAATAGTCTTATTGGAAAATAGGTCAGCCACCTCCTTATCACTTATTGGTATTATCTCATTATGCACACTTCTAACTTGGATCACCACACTCCATGATTTGTGGTCATGGTTTTTGTTATTTTTCCAATCCACAGTTAACTTCCTCTCCACCGCATGGCACGGCCAGGCAAAAGGTAAGCACACCAGGTTTTATCCTGGTGTACCCTTTGACTCTGACCCTGACCATGTTGATGAAGATGATAACAATGTATTAATATCAATTGGAGAAGTGGAGGTGGTGATGGAGAAGCTAGGGATATTTTATGAACCAGGTTGCGATGATGTGGTTGGAGAGAGGCTGGGGTCAGATGATGTGGCAGCGTTGTTTGATGAGGGGGAGGGGGTGAGCTTGGAGGAAGGGAAAGAAGCTTTTGGTGTGTTTGATGAGAACTGTGATGGGTTCATTGATGCAAGTGAGTTAGAGAGAGTCCTTTGTAAGTTGGGATTTACAGAGGTTTCACAAATGGAGTGTCAAAAGATGATTGCAAGCTTTGACGACAATGGAGATGGTCTCATTGATTTCAGAGAGTTCCTGAAACTCTTGGAAGATAGTTCTTGGTAGCTAACCTATGTCATGCATGCATGGAATTTTACTCCCAAAATAAATGCTCTTAATGCCAAATTTACTCTTGGACATAGTTTATGTTTATAGCTCACTCTTAAGTAACCCCTGTGTTAAATATATGTAACTTTTTAGGACTAGTATTTTTGTAACATATGTAGGTGACCTCATTAGATCTTATTTTAATCAAAGTCGTGTGTAATATGTAGATATAGTTCTAATTGTTAGGTTCTTTGTTCCTGTGGATTGCTTTATCAAATATCTTCTCTCCTGTTATTTATGTTATTTTGTATCGTGTTTTGTCTTTCATGTGCATCTTATTCTCTAAGTTAGTTTGTCTCTCTACATGTAACATGGGATTGATTGTGAAGGAAAATGTTTTAACTTAATATTAGATCTATTTTTTAACAGTTAATTTTTTCGATGAATTGGTGGTTAACAATTTTATAAGTGTTATACGAAATGGAAATTAAATTTACATAAATTTTTAACCCCAAATAATGTAGCGAATTTGGATCGTATCATTTTAGAAATAAACACCCATCAATATAATTTATATTTTCAAAAATGTTGTTGTGACATTGTCACAACTATTTTGGTAAGAGATTTTGTATAGAATTTCTATTTTGTGGATTTGTTTACTTGGGCTGACAATTGATGAGCTTCTTCACTGACAAGCTAAAAACTGCTATGAAAATTTTGCATAAAACTCAAGATTGAACTCTTCAATGAATAGCTAAAAGTTTTGTCATATTTTAGCGTCGGTAACGTTGTGCCAAATTTCATACAAGGTAATAGCCAAAGTTTGGCAAGACCTTTTATCACTCTCTTATACAATGAAATCTACAAATGACATCATTGGATCAACATTACTAAAATATAATATTTTAAAATTATTTATTGCCAAAATTTTGCTTTAGCTTAGCCATTTTAGTAACACATCATTGGAGAACAAAATTTAACAACACCTCCACTTGGTTTTTCCCAATTAGAGAAAAATCTTATCCATAATTGAAATTTGTGTCAAATTTTATATAAAGTTTAGGCCTTATTTGGGAATAGATTAAATTAGTTTCCATAATTGAAATTTGTGTCAAATTTTATATAAAGTTTAGGCCTTATTTGGGAATAGATTAAATTAGTTTTAAAAAATTAAAAAATCAATATAAAAGATTAATCAATCACTACAAGAAAAGTCACTTTTGGCGACTAAATTTTTAGTCGCCAAAAGTCTATTTTTAGTCGCCGAAAGTCAAAATTTGACTTTCCCCGACAAAATTCTTTAGTCGCCACATTTGTCGCGTATACGTTGTTGGCGTAGGCATTGGCGACCAATATTTTTTTAGTCGCCAAAAGACAGGTCTTTCGCGACTAAAATGTTAGTCGCCAATAGTGTTTTAGCCTTTTGAAAATCATACATTTACCGACTAATAATTTAGTCGCCAATACTCAATCAATTGCCGACTAAACGGCTTTGTCGCCAAAATAAAGACTTTAGGTGTTCCGTCGGAAAAAAAAAAAATCACTATTTTTTGGTTTTTCTGAGTTTCGAACCGTGCCCAACCACATTGCAACCTTTTTTGCAACACACTCCCTCCACTATGCCACTACAACATCACATGAATATATTTGCAATATATATTATTTATATAATATATTGACAGTATTAATACAAAACAATATATATAAATATAATTATTTTAATTCAATATAATTTATGTAAAAAATAAATTATTTATTAAAAAAATTTTAGGCCACTTTTGGCGACTAAATCTATTATTTAGTCGCCAATTCTATGATTTTTGGGCTACTAATTATTTTTTTGTCGGTAAAAAAACAAGTTGAAATTAAAAATATTAGTTTTGGCGACTAAATCTGTTTTTTGTCGCCAAAAACGTGTCCTTTTGGCTACTAAACTGAATTTTAGTCGCCAATTCACTATTTTTAGCTACTATTTTTTTTTTGTAGCCAAAAACCTTCATTTTCAGCGACTAATCTTTTTTTAGTCTTTTTTTTTGTAGCCAAAAACCTTCATTTTCAGCGACTAATCTTTTTTTAGTCGGAAAAACACCTATAATCGGCATTTTAGTCGCCAAAACCATCACTTTTGGCTACTAAATTATTTTAGTCACCAAAAACCATCACTTTTGGCTACCAAAAAACCTTTAGTTGCTAAAACCCCTACATTCTGCGACTAAACTGCCTTTTAGTCGCTAAAAGCCTGGTATTCGGTGACTAAACTATTTTAGTCGGCAAAAGGGTTCAATTTTGGCGACTAAATCCATTTTAGTCGCCAATTATAAAACTTTCAGCGACGAAAAATGAATTTTTAGTCGCCAAAAACGCTTTTTCTTGTAGTGAATTCTTTTTACTTTTTTTCTTATCATTTTATATAAAATCAAAAAATTATTAAAAAAATTAATTTTCAAACGAATCTTAGTAATACTAGAAGACAGAACAAAATTTAATTACCCATTAGACAATTCAAATTTGAGTTTCATATTACTCTATTTTTTGGACATATTTTTTACAACAATAATATTATGAATCTGGATTTAATTATTCAAAAATTATCTAGAATTATCATTTTATAATTCAGATTTATTTTACATATAAATCTCACACTATACAAATTTAATCTCTACTATATAATCATTCGTCCAAAAAAATATGAGTCAATAAGTCTAATTCACAACGAAAAATGCTAGAAATATCAATAAAATTATCAACAAATCTACTACATCACTCACATAAGTGTGGAATTCAAACCCACACCCATGTGAATTTTGATAAATTTTTTGATAAAAAGTTAAAGTGGAATCCATACCCACACCCATGTGAATTTTGACAAATTTTTAAAAAATTTGATGTGTCCAACATTATTGTTTTACAATAGCGTTGGGAGAAATTCTGACAATTATAACTAACTATGGGGAGAAATTCTGACAATAATATCCTTAGTTAAGAATTAAAAAATATTTGAAATTTTTATAAATCTTTCATAATTAAATCTATAATGATATGATTTAATAAGTATCAATTTTTAATTAATTACACAATTAATAATATGAGATTTGTCACTTTTATCACATCATTATAAAAATATGGGTAAATTACAAATACATCCCTTGAGATTTATTTAAATTACAAATTATCCCTGTAATTTTAAAAAATACATTATGCCCCTAAGGTTTCTAATTTCATAACAAATAGGTCTTTTTATTTATAAATCATTAAGTTAATTAACAGTTTTTAATAATGTTAAAATTTTATTTCAATTAATAATTTATATAATTTTATTATTGTATAGGTGAACAATTAGAAATTTTATTTTTTTCAATTAATTCTGTTAAATAAAAAATTCTGACATTGAGATATTTGTAATTTTTTAAATCACAAGGAGCAATTTGTATTTTAAACAAATCTCAATGAGTGTATTTGTAATTTATCCTAAATATATTTGTGAATACAAAATGTGGGTGGATAGTGTAAGATTTAATAATACATGTAATCATAATAATAATGCGGAATTAAACTTTACAGGATCTTGAATTCAATACAACTCAAGAATAAAACGAATATACCTTTGTCAGCCATTGAATTAGAGAAGTTGAGAAAATACCCCTTAGAGTTGAACCTTTAATTCTTGGCGAACCTTCTTCTCTCTGTCTCACTTAATTAGGATGACTATAAAACTTAGAGTGATGGAAAATACTTATGATATGAAAGGGGAGTCACCCATCCTTATATAGAGGAGAGAAGAGGGCCAGATAAACTCTATCAGAAGAATTCCTAATCCATCAAGGTTTCCTTCTTATCTTAGAAGAGTGATTATATTAAAATTCTATTTACTGAACTTGATCTCAAATATTGGCTTTATCTATTTGTGGAGTCCAAATAAATTAAAACATGTAGAAAATATGTAGGCTATTGGGCCACACTAGAAAAATAAATCCAACATTCTCCCACTTGGCCCATTAAGCCGATTATGATGCAATTATGAGTTTTTTTCAAAAATATGCAACTTAAAAAATTTTGACTCATTGGATTCCACACTAAAAACTTTGACATGTGATCACGAATTTTTTTTTAAAAAAAAAATAGCCAATCAGTTCAGATATATTAGAAACTATAATACTATGATTACTTCATATCACCAATGTGAGTCATAGCGGTTATATAACATTTATGCCATATTTCTTTCTATGTACTACACCATCGATAACCTTCACCAACCCAGTCCATTATCAGGATATATAATTATTTTCCTGAATGGCCCCTGTAATTTGTCTTGTTAAGACATTCCCTGTTTATCAATATTCAATTTAATGTGTACACACACTTTTAGAACAGAATAAATTCTTTATATTTAAGTTTAGTAATATTTCATTATTGTTTACTATAATAAAAAATAAATAATAAAAATTAATGTTGTCATCAAACCCAGTCTTCACTGAATTTTTGGTTACCTCACTAGCTAGAATGATAGTTGGATGAGATAAAGGGATGTGAAAAGTGCTAAAAATAAAGGGGAAATCACTGGTAAGTGGTTTCAGAAAAGAAAAAAATATATATTACAAATACATGATAAAATTTATAATTTTAATTATTAATATTTATAATATTTATCATTTATTTGTAATTATTTTTTATTGACATCATTGTAATGTAATTTAAAAAGTAAATAAATTAACATGTTTGAGGGTCATGATGTGATGTCACAAGGCATACCATATTGATCATATTATGTGATGATTCCTATAAAAAAAATAAGGGTTAATGCTTTTTAAATGGAACTATTGTTCTACTTATGTTATGCACGGGTTGTATTTATAATTATTTATATATATGGGAATTGTGAATTGTGAATTGTAAATTGTGATTTTTAATTTTTAATTTTTAATTTTTTTTATTTATTTACATATTTCTTGCACATAGAAAAAAGAATATAGCAAATGTAGCATATTTTCAATCAATTATTTTATGTTTGCTTTTATTCAAAATTTAAAAATAATGTACAGGCAAAATTTATAACTAAATTAAGAAAAAATTTATTCCAAACGATATTTTTTTCCTTCTATATAAATACTTAAAAAATAAACCTGAAAATAGTAGTCGATATAAATATTATACAATAAGTAAAAAAATGTGGTTAGCAATTATGCTTACATAAATTTACTATAGTTTTAATTTCAATTTTTAAAAAAAAAAAAATTAAAAGCGTTTTATTTAGCTAGTACCAAATAGAATTTTCTTAGCAAAGAGGAAAGTTATAAAATTTTATTGTAAATTTTCAAATGTTTATTG